CTCTTTCTCTTTCTCTTTCTCTTTCTCTTTCTCTTTCTCTTTCTCTTTCTCTTTCTCTTTCTCTTTCTCTTTCTCTTTCTCTCTCTCTCTCTCTCTCGCTCTCACCATTCCTTCTGTTGTACAAGTGTTTAACACCACTACAAGTATACTCTGTGGATCTCCTTGCCACTGGCTCAACCACCCAGATCGAAACAAATGTCCCACCACGAAATGGTTGATACTGTTCCCACACACTCCAACCACATATATTTGCCTACATTGGGTATATATAGTCTCTAAATGTCTCTAACATGGAGTGGTTGATACTGTTTGCAAAACCTGTCTATTCCAGGAGCTGACAGATCCATTGCCAATGCCCGTGGCGACCTTCCATTGATGTTAGCAAATGCTCAGGGGCACAGAGCAATCGTCAGTGAGCTTGAGGGTTTTCAACAGCGTGACAAGGATCAGCCTTGAGCCACGTCAAAAGAAAAGACTGTGTCACTGTGGCCCCATGGATTGTAGGTTTCTCACTTTATTATCTATTCAGCACCCAGTGCAAGTCTTCTTCATTTTGACATGGCCCACCGGTTAGTTGATTGAAGAAATCCACTTTTCACCACTTTTCTATTCTTCTGCTTCCTGAAGCTAGGGCCAGGGAAGCTCTTCGGGAAGTGGTTGTTTCACCAGGGCTGAATGGACTTAGTTTTTACCAGCCGTCGAGCTGGGTGTGTCACCGTCCCTGGCGTCAAACCTTGTGAAACGCCTGTGAGGTGGGTGATGGCGTCCGCCGAGACCAGTTCTGGCATTGACTCCTTTGCGAGTGAAGTGATTTAGTTGGTATGTCACCTGCGGTTTGTACCAGGACACGTCAGGACACCCAGTATACGCGGGGTAGGTAAATGGACACCCCCTGGTAGGTGCAGCAAATATATCATCAAGACTACTTCTAGACCCCATGATAACAACCCTTTGGATGCTTTTGTTGGGTTACTCGCAGAGGTGAGGTCTTTGGAAGTTCGACCACTAGTTGTTCTCCTTCAGATTTGTACTGCAAGTCACTCAGTCGCAGCATCGCAGACAGCGAGTCGCGGCATCATGTGATGTTTTCGAGCCAGAGTCCAGCGGGACGTTCGACAGAAAAAAACACACAGTGTTCTGCGTTCCAGGGAGTGGTGGGTGCCAAGTGGCGGGAGGGTGCCGATCCGGGTGCCCATGAAACACATTGAAACACATTCACATCCATGCCCCAAACAAACAGAATCGGACAAAACTCGAACGCCTTAACCGTGTGAACTGCTTCAGCAGGACCAGGGGGGAGCCGGGCCAGCACCGGCAGAGGTTCACGCGGTTGAAAACAAAGTGTGCGTGTGATTTGGTCAGAGGTCTTCAGAGGCCCCGGCAGGCCCTCTCAGTTCCATGATCCATGTGTTTTCCTCCGAGAGGGAGGTCTGAAGGTCTTTGTTTTCTGGTTTGGGTCTAAAATGGTCTAAAACTTGAGACAAAGCTTCCTTCCTTTTGAAAACCGAGAAGGCAGAGCAAACCAAGTGATATTGGTTTCTGATGGGTAATTCGCTTTATTCCAGGTCTGTGAGAGGCAGATCAAAGGGCGGGGCAGCGGGTCTGGTATGACAGTGGTTCATTTGATACTGCCTCTCCAAGTTTGAGTGGCTCCAGTCTAACCAAAACGCGTGCGACGTTCAAAGACTTGGGAGGTCCCAAGCATGGGTGACTCGACAAGTAGCTGGAGTCGACCCGGAACGGATGTAGACCTATTTTGAGATCGTGTCCCATTTTCCAGGATACGACGTCGGGTCCAGGTACAGTGGTTTCGGAGATTTTCAGATGGTGCAGACCTCAAGATGTCCTTTACATGGGGGTTCACCTCTTGGGGTCGAGTCTCAATCATATATACCAGGACCTTCCAAGTCCGGTAGTTTTGGGACACCTCGACTCACCTCCAAGAGGCTAGAGAACAGACACCGATGCCACCGGAGGGTCCTAATATATACCTGGACCGTCCGGTACAAACTGGACCGTCCGATCTCTGACCCCCTCCAACTCACCTGACCACTCGTGGCCCTCCAGGTCCTCAACACCCCCCCCAGCAGCCAGGCAGTCTGAAGTCCTTCATTATGTTCCCCCCATGCTACGGTCCCATCACGTGTTCATAAGACTAGTGCGGTTGCAGTGCAAAGTCCACGAAATTAACATGCACTTCGATGTGTATCCGAGTGGCCCCTCTTCAGAGATGTGCTGCTGCGCCTTCAGGCTTAGAAAGGACTCAACCCGTTTGCCTTGGTTTGGGACCCTCACAAGTATAAGGTGGTTGGAACCTTTCACCCACACAGACATGTAACGAGCTGTTGGTTCGGGTCATTCGGGTCGTTTTTGGGGAATGAATCAAACTCTCCAAAGGGGGTATACATACGTTGGGTCTGTCCGTTCTTACCTGTAACAGGACCTGGTTTCACAAGCAGATGTACTACTTTTGGACAAGGCCTACAGCCATCCACTGAAACCAGGTACTGTAATAGGATAGACCCAAGACATAAACGGCAGTTGTACCTGTTGTTCTTTGTTCTGGTCATGCCCCAACGACCTTCCACGTGACATGACCCGAACCAAAAACCACCAGTACAACTGTCCCTAGGGATCCAGTCGTACCGAATCTCAGGAGGTGATTGGACCCGACAATGGCACCTACAAAGCGGTGTCGAACACATCACTGTACCTGAGGTTCGGTACGACTGGATCCCTAGGGACTGTATACCCCTTTTCAAAGGTACATGTCCGGGTCGACTGCCATCTTCAACCCCTTCGCAGCGCTCTCTGCCAGGTGGCCTGGGAGTTCAACGGTCGGCTACAGCCGCTGATCGGCGCCGCAAACCGCACGGGTGGGGAGCTCGAACCGCACGGATGGAGCACGGTTATAACCCATCCAACCCATCGGCTCGTGGCAGTACCCAACTTGTTCCTGAAAAAACACCACGACATGGAACTGCTATGAACTGCTGGTCTTGTAGTGATTTGCTTCTTGGACTGTTAATCTAGAACTTTTGGAGCTACCATTCAGCTGTCAGTTGCTGCAAGTCTGTGCACCAGGGTAGTATGTGTGTGGCCTCTCCTGCTTTTTTCCTTCTAGGCGATCCAGAGGATGTCTGGTAACGCGGTGGACCTGGCGACCTGGCGACCTGCGGCGGGGGCGGAGCGACAGTGAGCGTGCGGAGCGTGGATCCTTGGTGCACAGAGTAGTCAACCCTAGGCTTCCAACAGATTGAATAGCCTGAATCCCGCAGACGCGTTGTTCTTGTTTCATTTAGTACTCTGGATTCTACACTACAGGTCTTGGAAGCCTAAGGCAAGAGTTCATTGACCCAGAAACGTCAATCGGCCTTTCTTCCGAGGTTCTTCCTCGCCTGGCAAATCATGCTCCGATTCAAGCACTTTCTCAGAAGGTACTAGGACCCTCCAAACCTACTTGTACATAACAGTGTGTCCAATCACCTTCTGAGAAGGTATACTTGGACCCCGTGGGGGGGTATGGATCCACATATCTCTGATACCATCCAGGGCTCGTGGATGTGACAGGGGCACCCAACTGCTTCCTCCTATATGGACAGTACCCTGTCCTCCATGGAACGGCTATAGTACTTACTTATTTGTGTTTACCTCCCTTTTGGTATACTCTTACCACCCAAATCATAGCCTCTTTGGTTCTTGAAGGGATTCACTATATATACTGAAGACCTAGTTTGGTTAAAGCATTTTTTTCAGCAAACTTGGTGAAACCAGTTAGCAGAGGATCTAAGGACAGGCAAGTGATTATATTATACACGTGCAAGTCTCCAGACTTTTTGGGAATAGATCACAAGTGACAGGCGGTCACAGGTGACAGGTGGCCACGGTTACAGTCAGTCCACGAAAAAACGGGGGCGGAGTCTGGACCCGTACGTGTCGACCTCTCACAGTGCATCCATGAAATGGTTACGATCATGATCGATCATGTAGCAGCAGCAATCGTGTTAGATGGCCACAGTTTTGTACCATTGGATTGACCCGGTGATATATAGCTTCCATACCCAGACACGACCTGTCTGGGACTTTCATACGAGAAAACCTCGAATCCGCGACAGCGTCGAATCAGCGACCAGCGAGACCCCAGGATCAGCGACCACGGATCCCGGATCAGCGACCAGCGAGACCCCGTTGAATCCGCGACCAGGTTAAGGCTGCATTGGTTCGCCTCTGGATGGGACTACGACCGGGTATGTTTACACACGGCTCATCACCGAGTTAGCGTTGAGGTCCTGTGTGATGCTGCTCACTGTCATCGTGTGGCATCACCTGGTAAGATCCGAATCTGCGGGGCGCCCTCGCTTGGACCGGTCGAGCCTGACCTCTATCTGCTGCAGGGTTGGGGACCGAGGCGGACCAGCTCATGGGCGTCCGACCGCGAAGTCTGAATGATGCAGAGGCCATGCAGTCCTTCTTCTTCGCCTTCCAGAAGGTCGCGCTCCATTGCGTCGCGGGCGAGCTTTGTCAATAAGGTTTAAAGGGAATATATGCCTCTTATCCAACTGGGGTGCAGACGTCTCCTGCTTCGCTCATCCGGGCAGGTGCAGGGTAAGCGCTTGAACTTGGCGACGTACCGCAAGTGTCCCGACAAAGTCCTGAAGGAGACATGTCAGCTTCAAGTCATTCACTGGGATTAACTTGCTGTTTGCAGCAGTGGGTAGGCTCCAAACATTGCAGTTGGAGTGCACACCAACAAGAAGGAGCTGTGTACATCAGCAGCGGTGCTGTATGTGAGCAAGAGGTCCTGGCAACTCATTCGGTGTCTAAACTTTCCCATCGTCGAACTACAACTTTGTGAACTGTGGTGCTGGGCTATCAATGCACTAGTTGATGTGAGTCGAACTTTTTTCCGCCAGATACGCACGATAGTGGATAACCTGCATGTACTGATGAGTTGGAGTGGTTTGAGGGAGTGTCTATGTAGGTACATCTTCCAGTCCCACGGATCCTTTGGGGTTGGTGGGGGGGGAACATATAACAATCAGCTATTATATATATATATATATGGGTGGAGTTGTTTGAGGGGTGGTACCTATCTCCAGTCCCACAAAATCCTCTGGGAGATTCTTGATTGTCTGGTCCGGCAGCCGGTCGTCCCGCCACTGAGGGTGCATTTGGACTTCCCAAAAGAGGCGGGCGATCTAGAGGCTGGCGAGACCGATGCCAGACGTCGATGCCCGAAAAGCAACACATACCAGCACCCTCCAACAGGTCACGAATTAAGACCCGTTAGGGCCAAACAACCCTCCAGAGGAGACCTGTTGGAGGGTGCTGATAGGGTTTGGTTCTCCCATTCGGAATCTGAGCGCAGAAAACCATCTCTCTCCGCGGAAAGCCACCGGACACCTTCCGTCACTTCGATGTTGTTTGTCAAAAACAAGGAGCGTCACGGGGTGCTT